CACCCCTGCCAGACGCAAGCATGAGCCTGGGCTAATCCCAGTCTAGCCCCAGTTGCCATCCTCAGCCCAGGCTGGAGGCCAGTTCCCAGGAGCAGAGGGACCAGCCTGTGGGATGGTTTCCTGTTGCGCTGGAGTGCCCTTAGCTCCCGCATGCTGATCTCCCCTCTCGCCCCAGCTACGTCCCCTGGAACTACCATGAGCCGCTGCCGGGGGTTTATGACTTTGATGGGGACCGGGACGTGGAAGCCTTCCTGGACCTGACAGCCGAGCTGGGGCTTCTGGTGATCCTGCGGCCAGGGCCATACATCTGTGCAGAGTGGGAGATGGTAAGCCCCAGCCCCCAGAGCTGGGACGGAGCAGTCATGGGTGGCTTGGGAAGGGCACAGCGGGGTTGGCCCTTCTGGCTGACACGCCAACCCCGGTGCCGTGCCAGCCATGCCCAGGCTTCTGCTCTGCAGGGCACGTGCCACTCCGGAGTCAGGCGTTGCCCTGGCCTGGTTTCAGCTGTGTGCCAGCCTGGGCTACTGAGTGGTTTCTCTGCCTCCCTCTCGGCTGTGGGTGTTTCTCCAGGGTGGCCTGCCTGCCTGGCTGCTGTGGAAACCAGACATCGTCCTGCGCTCATCCGACCCCGGTGAGCCTCGGCACAGGGCTCTGGCCACCGTGTCCTTACAGCCTGGTGCTAGTCCCAGCACGCTGGTCTCTCTCCACGCACCTGCCAGCCTTGCTACGTGGTCTCTCCCATCCTCTTCTCCATCTTTTGGGAGTGCCGTAGTTCATCCTCCACCTCTGCTTCCCCATCGTGCTTGGCTCTGCCCCATCTGCTCCATTCTCCTTCTGGCTGGGCTGGCTGCGGGTGTGCTGGGGCGGACGCTGCAGCCAGGCTGAGCTGCTCTCTCTCCCCAGCCTACCTGGCAGCTGTGGACTCCTGGCTCCATGTCCTGCTACCCAAGATCAAGCCACGCCTGTACCAGCACGGAGGGAACATCATCAGCGTGCAGGTAGGGTGCTGTGGGACCTGGCCCCCTGCCCTGCCCTGGGTCATATTTGGATGTGCCCCAAAAAGCTACCGGTACTCCCTACACTATGCCTTCATCCAGCACAGCTCTTAGATAGATCCTTCATGACCTCTGGACCTGGGTTTAAACCCAAAGGCTGGGACTCTGGGGTACCTGCCACCACCCTGGTTGTGGTTTGAGGGACACTGGCAGAGCTGGGGGTCATAGTAGGGCTGGAAGGTCAGCCTTGGGACACACCTGGGGGCTGTCACGACATCTGATGTCAGGACAGAAGGGGGGAGCTGGGTGCTTGTCCCAGCGCACGGCGGGACCTGGCTGCAGCCCTGCCACGTGCACGCTGGGTGCGGGCCCCTGCCCTGCTCGCAGGTGGAGAACGAATACGGGAGCTACTACGCCTGCGACTACGAGTACCTGCGGCACCTGCTGGGCTCCTTCCGGGCGCTGCTGGGGGGCGAGGTGCTGCTCTTCACCACCGACGGCACACGGGCAGAGGAGCTGCGCTGCGGCACACTGCAGGGGCTCTACGCCACTGTGGACTTTGGGCCAGGTTCCCCTATGGGGGACGAGCAGGAGGAGAGGGGATGGGGGTCCCAGCTCCGTCCTCCTCCAACCTCCCACCACCTCCGCAGGCTCCAACGTAACGGAGGCGTTTGGTGCCCAGCGCCAGGTCGAGCCGAAGGGGCCCCTGGTGAGCTTGGCGTGGGTGCCATGGGGGGGATGACCCACAATGGCTTTGGGGAGGCAGAGGGGCTGGCGGGAGGGGGGCGAGGCAAAGAGGGGTGCCAGGGCCAGGCTGCAGGTGGGCAGCAGGGATGTGGCTGACAGGGGGGTGCCAGAAGCCCCAGGTCTGGGCAGGTGACAGTCCCTTTCTCCCCCAGGTGAACTCTGAGTACTACACGGGCTGGCTGGACTACTGGGGGGAGGC